GGAATGCAGCGGGAAGATGAGAAAGGCGGTGGGGCAGCCAGTGCCAAGGCCTGGGGACAAGCTTTTGCTGCCAGAACAGAAATGGTGGTGGGCCTCCCAGGACAAGGAGTCTGGGCCCGGCGTCCACAAAGGTGGGAAGTCAGGATGGCGGGAGCTCCCTGTTACAGAGGACAAATGTGGTGAGGCTTAAACGAGGATTTGGGCCAAGAACTCTGAAAGGTAAGAGGTGCCACGGGAATGCCAGGGTAACCGCTGTGTTATTACAGTTCTGAGGACCATCTGTCCAAATGGGAAGCGCACCCCACACCTCACTCAAGCTACAGACCAAATTCAATTTATCAAGCACCACACCCTGGCGTTCCTGCCTCTCAGCAACGGGGGAGGTATCATTATCCCCGTTTTATAAAAGAAACAGGCTCAGCGAGGCTCAAAGCTTGTCCAAGGTCAGAGCTGGAAAGTAGAGCCCAGGTCTGCTGATGCCAAGGCCTGGGGGCTTTGCCCCTCACCCTGCTTCTCCAAGGTGGTAGGAGTGGGCATCCCTGCCCACCCAGGGCACAGGCTGGAAAAGCAGCCTGGGCAGAAAGGAAGGACCGAGGGACACCATCTGAGCAGAGTGGTCATGGCAGTGACAGACCACAGCTCCCTTGGGAAGTGTAACAGGCTCTAGCCCCAGCCTGCCCATCGACCTCCAGGGAAAGTGATCCTGAGACCTTGCTGGCTTTTAGTGCCACCTGATAGCCCAGAGAGGGGGGCCTGGCAAGGCCTGTGGGGCCAGGTTTCCTGGCATTCTGTGAGTCCTGCCCACCATCTGGTCCTGGGGCTCTGAGTCTGCCAACCCCCTTCATTTCTCCTGTCTAGGCCCACCCCACCCCCAAAGAAAGGGAAGAGACCCCCGGTGGACAGCTCAGGGGCGGTGGTGGCATCGCCTGCCATGCCCCTGCCTTTAGGACCTCCCAGGAGTGGCAGGACATCAGAGCCAGAAGGCTCTTAGGGATCCCTAGTCTAACAGACAGGGTCCCCCCTTAGTCTGACAGGTCCCAGGGTGCAATGAAATAACGAGGACCCTGGAGTCAGAGGCCAGGTCTTCAGTCCCTGGCTGGGCGACTTTGGCCAAGTTGCTAAGCCCCACCTGTAAAGTGAGGATAAAAGGATTCTCCTGTTACAAGGGCACAGTGAGGATTAAATGAGAATGTTCCTGAAACCGCCCACCACGGAGCCTGGCATGCAGTAAGCAGACGTCCGATTCTTGGCAGAAGGATGTGAGCCGGGGGTGGGACGTCTCGAGTTCCCACAGCAGCCTGCGCTCGGCTGCTGATGGGGGTGGAAAAGCTAGTCCTCAGCCGGTGCAGCACCCCGCCACCCCCTGCCTCCGCGCCCAGGGTCCGCGGCCCCACCCCTGCCCCTGCCCCAGCTCCAGAGGGGTGAACAAGAGCCACACTTACTTGAGGATGTCCTTCTTATTGAAGAAGGTGCAGTCCTGCGGAAGGAAAACACACATTTAGCTGGTTGTGCTTTTCCTCCCTCAGAGCCACACAGGAACAGCCAGCCCTGGACTGGGGGCAGCAGAGTCACTACCACCCCTCCCTGCCCCAGCCCACTGCGGGGTGCAGTCTAGTGGGTCCAGAAGCTGCCTTCTGAGGCTTTTGACCTGAGCCAGGGAAGTGTGTGGTGTGGGGGGCTGGGAGGCATGCGTAGGGGAGGGCATTTGGGAGGCAGATGGAGAGTTCAGAGGTGGATGCCATTGATTTGAGGGGCCAGGAGAATACCCTGTGGGACACCCGGGGGAAGTGGGTGGGAGACAACTCAGGAGACAAAACAGGAGTGAGGACTGACAGGGTCACCGCATTGCCCAGCGGCAGGGGGCACGGTCCACGCTGCAGCCCCTAAGAATGGTGCCTCGTGGAGTCATGGGTGGTGTGTGTCCTGAGTGGTCGCAGGCAGCAGCCCCGTGGTCAGAGGCTGAGAGTTCCGGGCACACAGGCTGGGGAAGCACCAGCATCTAACTGGTATCTGAAGCCACAGGAATAGATGAGGTTAGAGAAGGCAGTGAAGAGGCTGGGGTGTGGGGAAAGAAGGGGCCGAGGAGGAGGGGGAGGAGGAAGGTGGGCAGGGAGGAACTGGCAGCATCTGGACAGAGGCCGGGGTGGAGGCTGCTGGGGACCCCCAGGTAGGCATGACTCAGGGTTGGGGCAGCACTCGGATCCTGAGTTCACCCAGATTATAAACTCATCTTGGGGATCCTGCTTTGGTCTGGATAACCCACCTCCTACAGTCACGCCTCTGTCCACAGCTCCGCCTGCCTGGTGATGATGCTACTATGCCAGGCCTTGTGGGAAGTATGGGGGTGAAAAGGACCCAGCACTTCACAAAATGCCCAACCGTAGAGGGCTTTTGGGCTCCTCCCCTGCGGTTTGGCCCCTCCACCTTGGCCCGTTGTTGAAGCGTGAGGGAGCCCAGAGCTGGTGGGGCCTCCTGGGGCGGTATGCTGACCAGAGCTGGCTCCGATGAGGGACTAATGGCCACGGTACAGGCTTGCAGACAGCCCGGCTCACACCGGATGAGACCTGGAGCCCCTGGCCCCGGGGCAATTGCACTGCACATTGAGGAGGACCCAAGAAAGCAGGCCCACAGGATGCATATCTAGGGTTTCCAGTGGGCACCTGAAGGACAGCCGAAGAGGGGAGAGTTGGTGGCAATTTCCAGGCCCCAGTTAGCCCCACAAGTCTGTCCTGAGCCACCTGCTGCTCGGTGGGAGTTAGACTAAGGACCCGCATAGTCTGGCCCTTCCTGGAAACACAGGGGCTTCTCCTCGGGGGCTAGACTTTGCTTTCGGTGATAGCTCCTCTGTAGGGGCCAGGAGAGGCTCAGGCTGGGGAAGCAGTGCCCCCTCCCCACCCAGAATGGGCAAAGAACTCCATGGCCCACAGGCCTAAGACTCAGATGGGCTGACGACCGTGGGCGCTGATTTCTCAGCAGACCCCAGAAACCTGGAGCAGGCAGCAAGGGCCGCCCAGCTGGGCCTTCCAGGCACAGGCCTCTCAGTCCCACAGCTGGTTCTACAGCCTGAAGCTGCCAGTGAGAAGGGCCAGAGCGCTTCCAACCAGCACGGTGGGGGTGTCGGCATAACGGGATGGGGAGAGGCCCTGGCTTCTGCTCTCTTTCCCCCCGACCTATCCTCTTCCCCCTCCCCTCTCTTCTCTCCTCTCTCCTATCCCCTGGGTTGGAAAGGAAGTATCTGGGTCCTGACCTGAGGGTTTTATTGGCATTAAATGTGAAAGCTTCTCACATTTCTCCAGTCCCTTATCACAACTACTTACATCTGTCCACATCAATGGTCCTCAAGGTGTGGTTCCTGGACCAGCAGCATCACCATCACCTAGGGACTCAGTGGAACTTTAGATTCTCAGGCTTCTCTCCAGAACTACAATCAGAAACTCTGGGGATGAGGCCCAGCAATCTGCATTCTAAAAAGTCCTTCTAGAGATGCTGATGCTTGCTAAAGTGTGAGGGCCTCTGCTCTAGAGCAGAATCACCTGGGGAGCTGTTTAAACTCCCTGTGTCCCCTCCCATCACCACCAATGGACCCCAGATCAATTACATCAGAATCCCTGAGGGTGGATCCAGGTATCAGCAGTTTTCAGAGCCATCAGGTGATTGCAATGTGCAGCCCAGCCTGAGAACCACACCACAACCAGTCCATAATTACCATGGGCTGGTCCGTGGGGGCTCCGAATATCTTGTTTAATCCTCATCACTAGCCTATGGGCGGGGACAGGGGGCGGGGGTGGGGCAGGCATTACCTCCCCATTTTATAGATGGGAAAACCGAGGTTCAACAAAGTTGAACAGCTTGCCCTAAATTGCACACGCAGATCTGGTCTGGGCTGGAACTCAGGCCTATGTGCTTCTTTTTTTTTTTTTTTAATTAATTAATTAATTTTATTTTTGGCTGCATTGGGTCTTCGTTGCTGCGCAGGGGCTTTCTCTGGTTGCGGCAGGTGGGGGCTACTCTTTGTTGCGGTGCGTGGGCTTCTCACTGCAGTGGCTTCTCTTGTTGCAAAGCATGGGCTCTAGGTGCGTGGGCTTCAGTAGTTGTGGCACGTGGACTCAGTAGTTGTGGGACACGAGCTCTAGAGCGCAGGCTCAGTAGTTGTGGCGCATGGGCTTCGTTGCTCCGCAGCATGTGGGATCTTCCTGGGCCAGGGCTTGAACCCGTGTCCCCTGCATTGGCAGGCAGATTCTTAACCACTGCGCCACCAGGGAAGCCCCCTATGTGCTTCTTGACCACTGCCCACTGAGTGGAAACAGAGCCACAGTCCACCCAGCACCGTCGTACACCAACCACTCCACGTCCTGCTTCCACTGTGTATTCCCATATCTGGTACGTGGTGCATGCTCAATAGAGACTGGTGGAATGAATGGCCAGACTTTTCCATATAAACCTTCCACAGCAGTTAACATTATTTCACTGGCTGGGGAATATCTCACTGAAGGCATTGGCCCTGCTTAACCTAAACTTTCTCATCTTTCTGAACATTTAGCCACAGCCATTTCTAGGTTTTCAACATTACCAATAAAGCTACCATGAACCTGCTCGTCGACTGATGTTTCACTTTTTCTTCTGCTGACTTACTTCCCTGGAACTCATCCCAGGGAGGCAGCTCATAGGGGAGGAACATGGCAGATGCCTTAAAAGCTTCTCAGGGGGGCTTCCCTGGTGGCGCAGTGGTTGAGAGTCCGCCTGCCCATGCAGGGGACATGGGTTTGTGCCCCGGTCCGGGAAGATCCCACATGCTGCGGAGCGGCTAGGCCCGTGAGCCATGGCCACTGAGCCTGCGCGTCTGGAGCCTGTGCTCCGCAACGGGAGAGGCCGCAAGGTGAGAGGCCCGCGTAACGCAAAAATAAAGACAGAAAACAAACAAACAAAACAAAACAAAACAAAACAAAAGCTTCTCAGGGCTCTGAGTAGCCTGGCAGCGTGGCAGAGGAAAAGGTTTAGTAGTCAGATGCAAATTCTTGTCTTGCTTTGGACCCTTAGGCAAGTTCAGTCTCCTGTTGGAACCTCAGTTTCTGCATCCGTAAGATGGGGATACTGCCTCTTGGAAAGGGGCAGTGAGAGGAGCAAATGAGATAAGATGCAGGAAGCCTATAGGCCACAGCTTACCCCGTTTTGTGCAACAGCTCCACCCAGTACCCCATGTCCCAAAGGCATCCCTTCAGAGCCCGCAGCTCTGTGTCTGTTCACACCCTGAAGACACCAAACAAAAACCCTGCCCCCCTCCATCTACTCAGCTGCCCAGGGAGCTACAGCCATAGGTCTGCAGGAACTCTTCCCTATACTCCACTGAGAACAAATGTCCGGTCACTGCTTGGCCCCTGAGAGTTCACAGGGATAGGTCTTCAGGGAAGAGTCCCAGCTCAAGTTAGGGTCATGAGGGGTGGGAGGGAGGGAGGGGGCCTAGCCCAGGAGAGATGGGCCTTCAGGACTCTGGCAGCAGAAGACAGGGCAGGCTGGGCTTTTATAGTAGAAGCTCAGATGTTATGCCAGTTAAGGCTACAGTTCCTCCTCTAAGCTTATATTCATCCTGTTCTCCCACCTGGAGTGCCTTCCCCACCTTGTCCAGCTTGTCCAAATCCTTTCCATGCTCCAAAGCTCAACTCAAGGGTACTTTGTCCAGGTAGCCTCCCTGACTCCCATCTCCCACATGCCTGGTCTGCCTGTGCCAGTGGTCCTGAGCCGAGCCATAGCCAGTCCCAGCTGGAGTGGACTCTCCATCCAGCTCTGCCAGCTCAAGCCTCAGCACCGCCCAGCTGACCATCACACAGCTCAGCTGATCCCTGCAAGAGCCCTGTGACATGAGCACAGCATTTTAGAGGTGGGGACACTGAGACCCAGAAGAGGACAATGGCTTACTAAGGCCTACAGCATCTATGGCCCAGCCATGACTTGAACCCAGGACTTCAGAATCCCTGGAGTTCTTTCCCCTCCTTAGAGCCGTGCTTTAACAAGTATTCATTCATTCAGACAACATTCTCCACTGCCTCTTCTGTGCCTGAGCAGGGGACACACAGGAAGTGGGATGGAGGGGAAACAGACAGTGATGACTGGGTATAAACCATTCTGTGGCCACAAGAAGGATTGGGGGAGGGCATCAGGGAGCCTGTCCAAAAGAGGTGAGGCCTGGCATGGACAGAAAGATAGGCCAGACGGCGCTGATGAAGAAGTGAGGGGAGGGCGCCAGGAGAACAAGGCCAGAGGTGAGGCCATGCTTGGCTAGAAGCCCTTCAGTGTGCCTGGAACTTGGGGTGCCAGGGGAGGGACTAAAAATGAGGCTGGAGGCTGGCTGAGCTCAGACCAGGCCAGGGTGAGGTCTGCTCTGCACTCCGCTCAGGCTATTATCCCAAGACACTGTGGAATTCCAGCGAGAGGAGAGGGTCACACCCATGTTTTAGAAAGATCCTTCACACCTTTGACCCTGTACTTCTGCTCCAGGCATTCAGGACCTATATATGGACAACTCCCTAGGGTCTCCCACCACAGTGGGGGATTAGTTAATACCCATACGATGCAACTCTTGGTCCAGAGATTCTTTTTAAAGAAAAAATTATTTTACATTGGTGATGCACATTGTGTCTGTCGAAAGAAAATGGGAAGGAGTGAGAAACTGAGAGATTGTGGTAGCAGCACGCGGGTGGCTGGAGGGTGCAGAAGCGGGTGGGGTGGGGAGGCAGCAGTTACATTTTCAGTTACACGACACTGAGCGGCCTCGCCCAGGGCCCTGGCTATGGAGATCGAGGATGGGATCCCCCGGTGAGCCCCCAAAGAGGATGAGAGTTACAGGACTTGTTCTTGACTGGAAACATAGGCCATAGTAGAGCAAAGAGCAGTGGAGGGTCCTGGGGAAGGCGATGAGCTCTTGGTTATTTGAGGGGTCTAGGGGCTGGATCTGGAAGGCAGAGAAGTGGTCTGGGAAGAAATCTGAACTTTGGGAATCACTGGCACCTGGGGACTGGGGAAGAGGGCAGGAAACCTGGAGATCAGTTGGGGGAGGGGGTGGCTGTTACTCGAGGTCACACCCAGCTTGGCCTTCACTGGCCCTGGCCAGCTGGAGAGTCTCAGGGAGGGAGATGTGGGGCTCTCAGGTTGCACAGCTCTCGTTTCTCCCACCAGGCCCAGCCTCTGGCAAAGGATCAGAACCCAGCACTGGGCCTCACTCCGAATGGTAACTCAATGCCAGGCCGGACTGAGTGGGAACCCAGGCTCCCCATGCCCACGAGGCTACTCTTCTGAGCGTGGTCTACCTGTCTGCCAGTACCCACCTCCAAGTCTTTACCCAAGCTGTCCCCTCTGCCTGGAATGCCTCCTTCGGGGCCCTGATGGGCAAAATCCTACTGATCTTTCAAGGGTCTGCAAGCGCCGCATTATTTCTGAACCTACCAGTCGAAGCAAAGACCCCCTTCCCTCCAGGTCTCCCACTGCCCCCTAGTGCCCTCCCCTAGAGCCTGCCTAGGCTGCCTCGTACTGGAGGCGAGGGGCTGTCTCTGCAGACAGTGAGGGCCTTGAGGACATAGAGCACACACAGCCCCCAGCCCCAAAAAAACGAGTGAGCCTTGGATTCACAATTCAAATTCTTGTGTGAACCTTCACTGTGCAGGGTACCGAATGCCTCCTCAGCCTTTGTTTACTCTACTGTAAAATGGGGCTAAATAACCCACCTCCCTGTGATGATCAAATGAGTTGATGCATAGAGAGCCTCCATTATAGCGCTGGGTACACAGAAGGCGCCTCCACGTGAGGCCCTGAGAAAGCAGTGTTATTGACAACCAGCACTTCCAGGAGGAAAAGGGCCTTTATTTTACTTGTGCCCACATCAGAGGACCCACACTTCAAGCTCGATTCCAAAATAAATATTCACGAAGGCAACAGGCAGCTGTGGAGACCCTGCTGGTGTTCATCTCCCCCAAGCACACTCCACACAGGCCACAACACAGTCCAGCCGCCTCTGCCTGGCAGAGTCAGGAAAGAAGCATCAGAGTTGGGCCTGGGAGGGTAAAAGTGAAATCATTTGGAGACCGGGGAGCGGCATCCCCGAGCACGGGCAAAGAGAGGGAGGAAAGAGCCCGGCGTGTCAAGGGAACGCGGATGGTTCTGGGGCAGCTTCAGTGCGCAGGGCAGGGAAGGGGCCTGGGCAGGCTGGCCAGGGCTCTGGGCAAGCCAGGAGGCTGGGATCCTCCATCCTGCAACCACAGAAAAGTTTGTACATGAGTGGGAGGGCATTGGGATCTGACCTGGACAGCTCCCTGGCTCTGGAAGTAGAGGGACTCAGGAGGGTCTAAGGGGGTGGCTGCTGGGGGCCTGAGGGAGCTTGGAGAGGTGACCACGTAAGACTGGTACCCGGCTTGCCTTCTTGCTCCAATTATTTCCATACTGGGGCCATACGGAGAGACCCCAACCTAGAATGGCATTTGGGTGCTGATGCTCTTCACTCCCTACCCAACTAACAGCTAATTTCTACTTTACAAAGACTCACTCTCCTGGGCTGCTTCCCAGGTTTTGGGGGTGGGTGGGTGGGAGGGTCCTCCCTCCAGCCTACGTTTAAGGACTCCATCTCTGCGCCAAGGTGGGCGATGGGAGGGAGTAGTCGGAGAAGGGCTCGGGTCCAGCCTGGGGCCAAGAGCAATAAGTCTGAATGAGAGAGAGAGGAGGGGGGAAGCTGGAAAGAGGGACGCCTGCGAGAATCTTTTAAGTGGAAAGCGCTCTCATTCCCCGAGTAGGTAAACTGAGGCTCGGAGAAGTCACCAGCCCAAGGTCAAGCGTCGAGCTGAAAGCAGAAGCAAGGTTTGAACCCGGTGAAACGGCTGTCGGGAGGCCTCGGCAAGCGACGGGAAAAAGAAGGGAGGAGCCGAGGGGCGACGCTTCGGGGGCCGGGCGGCGGGCTCACCTGGTAGTTGTCCAGCTGCTCTTCGGTGAAGATGGTCTGCTTGTTCCCCATGGTGGCTGCGGCGCCGTCGCTTGCTCTCCCGGAGGCCGCCTCCCATCAGCGGCCGCCGGAGCCCCGCGCCCGCGGCCCTCGTCAGCCCCTCGGCGGGCAGCTTCCGACGGCCGCCGGACCCGCCGCCCGGCCTCAAGGCGCCGCGCCCGCAGCCCACCCGGCGGGGACGGGGCGGGAGCCTGGGAGGAGGGGAACGGACCCCAAGCGTGGCGACTCCGCCCCACGGCGGGGGGAGGGCGGGCACCCGGCTCCCAGCTGCCGAGCGCCCCGGGCCCGCCAGGGGGCGGCCTGGCCGCGGGAGGCGCTGCCCGGCCCGTCTGGCGCCCGCGCCCGCGTCGGCTGGATGGACCCAGGAACTTCCGGCCGCCGGGAGCCCAGATGGCGCGGGGCTGAGAGTGCGGGGCCTGGGCAGATCCATTCGAGGGGTGCAGTGGGGGCGACTGGGTGATCTTGGCTCCCCTTGAGCTGGGGCGCGGGGCGTCAGTGAGGAGCAGGGGGAGAGCCCTGAACTGTGAGTGCGGGGATCCAGCCTGGGGCCCAGCTCTGACAGCGTCTCACCGCGCGATCTTGGGCCCCGTTCCTCCGCGGAAAAGCAGGGAGTCAATCGAGATGACCTCTAAGGCCCCTCCCGGGCCAGGCCCGGGCAGGCTGATCTGGTCTTTGACCACGGCCTGGTCAGAGTATCTCAGACCCTCTGGGTCCCTCAGGGAGGAGGACGGGACTTGCTTGCCTTTCTTTGAGCCCTTGGATACGTGAGACTTGAGAGGATTTAAAAGACTTACTGTGTCCAGAGACTTACTGTGACAAATGCCAGGAAGTTTTGCGGGGCTTTTAAAGAGATGCCATCCATCGCAGCAAATGGAGCCACCGCTAACTACCTTTGAAGTGTCCAGCTCACACATTTGTTATTTATCACCCCAGGACCTCTGATGCTATAGGTATTACCTCCATTTTACAGGTGAAGAAACTGAGGCTGAGAGTGGTTTACTAACTTGCCCAGAGTTCCACAGCTGGGAGGTAGCAGAACCTGAGCTGGACTCCAGCACTGGCTCAGCTCACACCTGGACTCTGATGAGAAGACCAAGACTTTATGCTTTAAAATAGGTGATTTGTTTCTTTAACCACTGAGAGCAGTGCATCAGAAACACTTGGTAGGCTCCACCCCCAGAGCTTCCGGTTTAAGTCTGGGTGGCCAAGCATGTGGGGGGCCAACAGGTTCCCAGGTGATGATGCTGCTGGAACCAGGACCATGCTTTGAGAATCGTTGCTTCGGCTGAAGGTTGGGGGTTCCAAGAGGAGCAGGGGTCCAAGTTTGGCAGATGATCCCTGGTGTTTTTACATTTTCCTTTTATACCTGAGGTTCCTGGTTGGGGTTTTCCGACATTATTTTGCCACCCTCTGGTGAGAATAGCAGCCATCAGCTAAACAGACAAGCCTCCCTGATGATATTGCAAGAGTCATCAGAGGCATAATCAATTGCTATCAGACGGGCAGGAAACAATTCAGAAGCCCAGGGGATTGCTGACCAGCCTTCAGAGACCGCCTCACCATCCTTCATTTATATTGCACATTTATAGCGGACAGCTGTGGGAAAGAAGGCGGATTCAGAGAATGTGGAATTTTAGAGCAGAGACAGGCCTTTATAAGATTCCATCTGCAATTCGTCTTTCTTGAAACCTTCTGCAAACCACACAATCACTATTAGCAAACATCTTAGATTCCCCATTGCCTGTGAATTGGCCAGAATTCTGTGTACTCATATCCTGCTCTGTTACATTCCTTTACAGTTGCTAACATGCTACTCATTTGCATGCCAGGTATTCCTGGCAGAAAAGCCAGAACTTCTACAAAGAGGACTGTATTTTCAGTTCTGGGAGTCCCTCCTCTCACAGGTGATAAATAGAAGCCACCAACCTGGCTAGAGTATTCCCTTAACAAATCCTTTGTGATAGCTATTGCCATTGCCCTAAGTGAGGCCCTCTCTCTCTTGAGCTATTACAACAATGCTGTGAAGAGGGGCATGGCATACAATTTACAAGTTACAGATGAGAAAACCCCAGCTCAGAGAGGCAAAGTGACCTGCCCAATGCCATCCAGCTGGGAAGGGGCAAAGCACCTCCTTCTCTGATTCCAAATCGTGCTTCTGCTGCTTCCAGCTGTTGGGTGTGAAAAAGACAGTGTATGTGTTTGTTGAGGGGAGAGTGGACAGAGGGAGAAGAAAGAAGCACTGATTACCTACTCTGCGCCCAGAATTGTGTTGGATGCTTTACATTTACTGAATATGATTATTCCATGAACACCTCTTAAGTCTGTAGAGTTTGGCATTATTATCCCATTTCACAGATGAAGAAAAAATCTCAGAAAAGGTGACTTGCCCAAGGGCATGCAGCTGGTGATGTAAATCTGGGTCCTGGCTGTCTTGTTTTTGCCGTACGCGGGCCTCTCACTGCTGTGGCCTCTCCCGTTGCAGAGCACAGGCTCCAGACGCGCAGGCTCAGCGGCCATGGCTCACGGGCCCAGCCGCTCTGCGGCATGTGGGATCTTCCCGGACCGGGGCACAAACCTGTGTCCCCTGCGTCGGCAGGCGGACTCTCAACCACTGCGCTACCAGGGAAGCCCAGTCTTGGCTGTCTTGATCACACTGTCTAGGGGCAAGGGAACATATGGTTACTGCTGTTTAAAGGGGGCCAACTCCTAGGCAGTTGCAGTCTTTGTAAACGATGTAACATCAGAAGGTAGCAACAAGGGGTAGTTTGGGGATTCCTGGCACTTTGCAAAATTTGGAAGAAAAACAGGAGGGATAAATACTACAAAATGCCCAAGGAGTAAACTTGATAGGAGTTAAAGGGTCGGTAAATATAATAAAACATTGATTTCTTTCCTTCTTTTCAAGGTCCTTCCTCATTGACTAGCTATTCTTTGTGTTGAAATGTCATTGATCTGCAAGTTATTAGTCTAGGACTTAGAATCTAAGTGGATCTTGATGGCAGAGATAAGGTGTTCTGGGCCCAAGGCCTGGGGGGGGAACATCTACAGTAAATCTTCCCTCTAGCAGCCCCATGTGCCCAGTGAGTCACTCTCTTGTCCTACACTCAAATCTACCTCTAACTTTATATCAGCTTCACACCACCTCCTAGTAGGACCTGCTAGCTATCTTGGCTCATCTGAGTCTTCTCTATCTTAGGGGCAATTTAAACCTCATTCCTCCTGAAGTCTTATCTTTGCTTAGAGAGCACTTATCTTGGCCGCTCCCCTGATATAGCTGCTGTTTATATTCTGTGAGCTGTTCCTTGGTCAACCTCATCTCATACACACAAGAGGCCTCACAACCCCTTTTTAAATCTGGCCTATATTCTAGCACTGAACAGCTTGTCTTGTAACTTTCCTGTATCTCCAGCACTTTACATATAGTAGATTCTTCATGAATATTTGGTGGATGAACGAATACATAGCCTGGGGCTATCTTTTTTGAAGGAGGGAAATTATTTCCTCTTGAATACTAAGATTCAGGAGGGCTGGCACCACGTTTTAATTGGTTCTATCCCCAGGCTCTAGGACAATGTCTTAGTAAATATTGAATCAACATTCTTTAAAAGAATATATTTTCTGGACCTGTTTACACATTGATTCAAGTACCTCCCCAAATGTTCTGACTTGGAATAGATTTTCCTCCTGGAGGACTGAGTGACCAAGCCCTTTCTTTTTCTTTTTTTTTTTTTTGTGGCCGCATTGCATGGCATGCGGGATCTTAGTTCCTGGACCAGGGATTGAACCTGTTACCCCCTGCAGTGGAAGCACAGAGTCCTAACCACTGGACCACCAGGGAATTTCTGACCAAGCCCTTTCATACAGAGCAAACAGAATGAACCCACCTTCTCCCTTCATGAACCACCTCTTTTGACCTGTTCTAGACCCTTCCCCAGAAGCTACTCTGGATGTGGGAAGTTCCCGGATGGCCTAGAATGAGACCCCAACCCGATGGTGACTGTCCTGTTGAGGGGGGGAGGGGTCAGTCTCCCCCACAAACCTGTTTCTCCTGCAGGCTGTCCCATCCATCCTTTCAAGTGCCTTTAAAATCCTTGGAGGCATCCTCAATTCCTCTCTTTTCCTCACACTCCACACTTGGTTCATTAGCACAGCCTGTTATGTCTATAATCCAACCACTCTGTAGCACTCTATCACGATCTTGTGGTCCAAGTCCCCCTCACCTCCCTCCTGGATTACTGCGGTAGATTACATCATGACACGACTAAGCCAGTTCATCGCAACTGGGTTCACTGTTGCTGTAGATCTCAGTAATCTCCAGTAATGAGTGGTAGATGAGCGTACCTTGCTACTAGCAGGGGGCGCTGAGGCAATGCAAGCCAGTTTTAGCCTGAATTCTGTGCCACGGACCATCACTGATTAGCAAGCAGGTCCTCGAGTTATATGACCTCCTCTGTGAGCTCAATGAAGGCCCAGATATATGTCCTGTGTGTTCCAAAAAGCTTCTTTCTTGAAAAGATTAAGTCCAAGGCAGAAGCAACAATATTTGAGGAATAAGCTTCAATTCAGGGTCAGGCGATGGCATCCTCACTCAGCAGCTTGAACCCCAGACCAGACGGATTCCTAAGACCTAGAGCCCATTGGAGCTCACTAGATGTTTATGCCTTGTGGTGCGAGAGCAGAGGCACATGGACAGCACATCGCACATCTGGAACACTGCCTGTTTGACTGATGGACAATTATTTTGGCTGGTTGCTAATGAAAAGACCCTCTGCTGAAATGGCATTAAGACAATTGAAGCGCTTGCAGAAGTGCCTCTGGAGTGTGGCTTCCGGGTAGAGTCCCTGCTGCCTCCACGGGAGCGGCTCTCAAAATGTGGTCCCTGGGACCTTTTCAGAGGGTCTGTGAGGTCAGCACTATTATTATTTTCATAATAATACTAGGACATTATTTTCGTTTTTCACTCTCATTTTCTCCCAAGCACAGAGGGGAGTTTTCCAGAAGTTACA